GGCCGCGATTATGAATTTATCGGTATTTAAAGTTAAAACAGTGCGTTTTTAGCTCTTCTTTTGACTGTAAGACGAGTTTTAGTTAAAAAATAAAAAAATCCTAAGACAGAAAGTTTAAATTTACTGTAATATTTCTAAAAATCCAAAAATCTAACCTTATTTTTAATTTTCGGGGCCTCTTAAAATCAGTTGTTTGGTTCTCGTCAACCCTTTTTGAAATCCGAAATTGATCTCATTTGGAAGCAAATGTACACAAAGTGGAGCAAAGGCAGTGCAAGAATAACATTTGAGGTAAACAAAATCACTTATTACATTTTATTTTGACGAGTATTTACTCTCCAATTACTTTTGTTTATTTTCAAATTTTACCCGTTGCCCCCGGGCCGGCCTGGGACTCCCGCGCGGCCACGTTCGAACACGTTCTGTAACCCGATACCTCCCTAGTAATGCGACTTTAGCCTAGCAACCGACCGCCGTGAGATGCAGAGGGCATGTATTGAAACATTATTTTTAACAGTACGTGGATAACAAAGACTCATAAAACAAACGTAACAAACATAATCACATCTACAGTTGAGTAAGTTAAATTCCATACAAGTGTCTTGTTCCAAAGGCCCGAGAGGAAAATGTTGTAAATGTCATCCTTCATTAATTCCAACCCATTATTTATTTATTTGATAGAAATGTAAAAGTACTAAATTTTTCTATGTTTGTTTGTTTGTTTGTTTCGCATAACCGGTAAACCACCTTTAGGTGTAACACACTGGTGTACATGTGCGTACATGTTTAAGCTGTGTAAGACCGAACTGTAAGGTTTTGGACAACTAACACCGGAAAGATATACTCTTTTCAATAAGTACAGGGGTTCTTTAACATGCATGAGGTGTGGGTCTCCCAAACACGGGACCTCCATTTAACCCTATCTAGACCGGGGGGGGGCTAAAAGTGCCCGCGCCAACTTTGATGTCACATAGCATCTGAACGGCTAAGGCTAGAACGACCAAACTTTGTGACTTTTCCTAAAATATTGTTGGCAACAATTTTTAATCATTGGAATAAGATATTGATTTTTTGTGTTGCCATGGCAACGAGTTTCTGACAGGCATTTTTTGCTAAATTTAGTAATTTTTGTTTCAACAATAGAATTTTATGGGTTCTATGTCAAGTTACTCATGGTTTCTAATATTGATAACATCCCATATAATTTTATGTAAATTTCATCAAAACTTCCATTTCTTTTTCCAAAAAATGTTTAAATGAAGGTCTTTAGTATGTTTACAATGTATTTTAGGCTTTATCAGGAAAAAAAAACTATTTTTGAAAATTTAACATTGATGATCGAAGATGACGGATATCTTAAATATGTATGACGTCATTTTATGACGTCACCGGTGTTGGTATGGGCAACATAAGACTTAGTACACTCTAATATTCTGTCGTAAACACTTTTGGTAAAGTTATGTTGTAGACCATTTAGTTTTCAGGGAATAGCCTATCTAGACGGTTTTGGCCTTTAAAATCACATTAATGACGTCATAATGACGTCATATTACGTCATAATGACAAAAAAATTGTAGATATGATAAATTTTTACTAGTACACCATCCTCTGAAAATTTGGTAGTCATGCGACTTACCGTTAGCGAGTTCTGAGGGGGGGGGGTCAAAAGAGCCCCCCCCGGTCAAATCTTGCTCAAAAAAGCCCGGTCTAGATAGGGTTAACGTCCTATCCGAGGACGTTCCTAAGCTAGGTACTCATTTCCACCTGAGTGAAGTGAAAAAAGTCGTGTAAAGTGCCTTTCCCAAGGGCACAAGATCGGTGACATGGGCAGGGTTCGAACCCGCGACCTCTGGTCCGAATGCGCTACCGACTGCGGCACACGACCCCACCTATTTATGATTTATAACAGTGCAATATGGTGTTTGTTCTACGAAACAACCTTTAGAAAACTCAGACAATACATAGTCTAGTTAGGGTAAATTGAAGGAAAACACTTATAAGACAATATTCGTGAGCCGTAATCGTAAATCTTTAGTTAAAATCATAGTCGTTACCTTTTAAAGTTGGATCCTGATCTCCAGGTCCTGTCATGCCGTAGTTCTGTCCTACATCTGGGGGCTGTTCACCACTGACTTCTGTATATTCTGGAACATGAATAGTTAGATATCAAGTTACTTTAGTTAATACTTGTAAAATACATGTTTTCGTGAATCTCCTCAAGTTAAATCTAATGTAATGAAATAAAGCATGGTTACTGTACAAGAAAAGTAAATTAAAACATCGCTAACAGTCATTAGCCATCTACCACCTTTAGAAATTTGTAATATTAGGTGCTAATTAGATCATCTGGGAGGAGAAATGATAGTCGTTACCTAGACCGGGCTTTTTTTGACATGGGGGGACGAGGGGGGGTCTTTTGACCCCCCCCCTAAGAACTCGCGAACGGTATGTCGTATGACCACCAAATTTTCAGAGAATGGTGTACTAGTAAAAATTTATCATATCTACAATTTTTATGTCGTTATGACGTAATATGACGTCATTATGACGTCATTAATGTGATTTTATTGGCCAAAACCGTCTAAATAGGTTTTTCCCTGAAAACTAAATGGTATTCAACATAACTGTACCAAAAGTGTTTATGACAGAATTTTATGGTGTACTGAGTCTTATGTTGCCCATAGCAACACCGGTGACGTCATAAAATGACGTCATGCATATTTAAGATATCCGCCATCTTGGATCATGAATCTTGAATTTTCAAAAATAGTTCTTTTTTATGATAAAGCCTAAAATACATTGTAAACATACTAAAGACCTTCATTTAAATCTTTTTTGGAAAAAGAAATGGAAGTATTGATGAAATTTTAATGAAAATAACCTATATATACCTGTTCTAATGATATGGTCCACCATCTTGGATTTTGGCCAATGACGTCATCAAATTAGCATAAATTATGCATATTTAATGATAAAATTTACATAAAATTATATGGGATGTTATTAATATTAGAAACCATGAGTAACTTGAAATAAAACCCATAAAATTCTATTCTTGAAACAAAAAGTACTAAATTTAGCAAAAAAATGCCTGTCAGAAACCCGTTGCCATGGCAACACAAAAAATTATTATTTTATTCCAAAGATAAAGAATTGTTGCCAACAATATTTTAGGAAAAAGTCACCAAGTTTGGCCGCTCTACGGCTAGCCCGTCAGACGCTAGGTGACATCAAAGTTGCCGCGGGCACTTTTAGCGCCCCCCCCCGGTCTAGGTAGGGTTAAGTGTTAACAAATATTTTGTAATAATGTCGGGATGGCCATCGTTACCTTCTGAAGTCGTATCTTGATTTTGAAGTCCTGCCATACCGTAGTTCCGCCCAAAATCTGGGGCCTGTTCACTACTGTTTTCTGCAGTTGATGAAGTGTGTATTTTTTGTGTATTCTTTAAGAATTTGATTTGATTTGATTTATTGAGATGCCCTTTAGCCCCATGAGGGGCTAATCTTCCAGGGCTCATTAACAGTACAACACATAAAATACAAGCACTGAATACATACAATCATTGCAATTACACATTGAAATAATTGAGGTTGAGGCCAGAGGTCATTTAACTAATTATGACTAAAATCAACATTAAAACTTGTGAGTTACTAAATTGCTTCGAATATATACAATATTGTCAGGGTAAGCCTTTAAGTTCCATAAAGCTGACGTGTCATTTTCCTGAACTGCCTCTCATCAGCTGCTAATACAGTAGTCTTAACTTCACTCGGTAATGCGTTCCACAGCTTTACAGATCTGTAAACAAACATCCTCTTTCCACTACTGTTGTTAGGTTTGAGCAATGAGTAGTCGTGCACTGATTGCCTAGTGGAACCTGTGAGACGCATGAACTGGTACCAGAGATTTATAGATTTCCTGTGGCTCACTTGTGGTTACAATCTTGAAAAATAACTTAAGAGTACTGACATCAAATCTATTTCTCACCGATAACCAACCAAGATCAGAGTACATTTTGGCAACTGGTGTATCGAACGAACATTTCAGAGCCAGCCTGCAGACTTTGTTCTGTATAACTTGTATCTTCTTGCAATACTTCTTAACAAATGCAGTACTCTCAGGGATGAAAATAATTCATATTTATTCAAGTTTTACAGGGAATAATCTTTATGTCAATTAACATAATTTGTACTTATAAGATGACTTATCATTTTGTTATATCTTGTATATTTTCTTGTATATTTTATTTATGTATGCCTGCAGGGCACATTGAAAAACGCCTTAGTGGCGATATGTACACCCTGGGTAAACATATAAAAACAAACAAACAAAACAAACATTAAAAAAAGATCTAGACCCTTATTTTGGGTAATTATGAAAACAGCAGTTCGTATCTAAGAACACTGCAGTTAACACAACAAATAGCTGTGTCAATGATAGAGACATTTTAGTGGCAATACTGCTAAAAGTGTGTATGTCCACAGCAAATTGAAAAAAAAGGGAGAACGAAAAATGATTGTTTTAACTTTTCAACATTACATGTATGGTTTTTGCAACAATACTGAAAATTTATTCTTTAGTCTTGTTGCAATTTGTAGGTCGTTTTGATCTGGATCTGGTTCACATCTTTTAATCAAAGTTTAGCTTGGAAAGCCCGATAGCAATAAAACGAACGTTTTTCAATAGTGACTATACTACTATTTTGCGTTCTTTATGCAAACATTTATAAGTCATACTTATAAATATGAGAAAACAGCATAAAGCAAAAGATTCTAGCTAATTTGAAATCACCCCCTGCCGTCTGCTGCCAATATTCCAAGCACCGGCCAGACAGGTTCAGAATCCCCGTGATTTCTAATCCGTAAATGATGTTTAAAGAATGTTCGCAGTTATCTACTAACAATCTGATACAAAAGTTATATAGGGACACTGGGTCCTTGCTTATGGTCATCAATGGTAGTCGCGTTAACAAATTGACAATGCATACATATATAGGGTAAGGTTAAGGACAACATGTTTGTAGATAATAATTCCTGAGCCTTAATAACACATTGCTAGTTAAAGAAACAAACCGATTATGTCCTGCAGGCTAACCCGACTTATTTCCCTTTTGCCATCAACAATGAAATGTACAAAAGATCCCTCTTGACATCTGCCATTCTCTCCTGGAACCAAATACCCCAGACCGCCAAATTATCCCCTTGTTTGTACATGCAAAAACGTATCACATTCTTCCTTCGCTAGCGTACTCAGACATCCCCAGTACTCACACGGCCATGGACACCTTGTAATACATGTAAGCTGACAGTTGAACTGCAACCAATTCTAGTATTACTGCATCGCTTGTCCTGCGTGCCAATGTGGGCATCCAAATGAGACACCAGAATACTACTTGTTGCACTGTTAAATATCAAGGAAAGGACTAAAATGTTGTTATCCATGACCTGCTTACATCTTCAGAACACACTCCCCTTTGACAGATTTAACTCAAGGACACCACCCTATGCACGCTTCTCCCTTCCATATTCTACAAATTGCCGTATCTTCTATATTGTGTTTAACTTCATCACATTACGAGATTTGGTCAATCTCATAAAGTTATAGGTTCTATTAGGGCGCCAGTCATTTTTGTGTTCTGTCTACTATACGTTTTGGATTTGTTACGCCATCTGCGCCATCTAAATGTTTTATAAGCAAATATGTCTTATCAGCACATTCCTGTCTAATGTTCTCAACTCTATGTAAATAAACAAAGAAAATCATATTGGCCCTAATAAAAGTTATGTTTTAATAACATGGCCATCCTTACTTTTTGAAGTCATATCTTGATCTCCAAGCCCTGCCATGTCGTAGGTCTGCTCTACATCCGGAACCTTTTCACCACCGACGTCTGTAATTGGTAGAGCATGCAATATAGACATTATTTACCAAGTCAATAAACTTTGTACTTTAAAACAAAAAATACGCATCTTCTATGACCACATTATGTCAAATCTATAATAATAGACATGGGAATAGGGAAGTTAAACACAAATACGAATTATGATTTATAACAGTGCAATATTGTGTTTGTTTCAGAAATCAGAGGCACAACATGCCTACAGAAAACTGCACTCCACCGAAACAGCTCTGCTGAAGATGACAGACGACTGGCTAGACAACATGGATAATGGGTTTATGACAGCGGTAGTTTTGCCGGACTACAGTGCGGCATTCGATTTGGTGGACCACAATCTTCTTCTACAGAAGCTCGAGCCGTACGGGTTCACTGAGGATGCGTTGGATTGGACTGAATCGTACCTGACAAACCGCAAATGGCAAGTTTACACGAATGGAGCCTACAGCAGTCAGAACACCCTACACTGCGGGGTACCACAGGGTAGCTGCTTAGGTCCGCAACTGTACAACATCTACGTAAACGACATGCCGGAAGCGGTACAAAATGGGTCATTAGACCAATATGCTGATGATAGCACGATTCACACACGAGGACACACATTAGAGGACATAAGAACAGAAACCAAAACAGACTTAGAAAGAGTGGCAACATGGTCAGATGAAAACATGCTAAAACTAAATAATGGAAAGACGAAAACGATGCTTGTGGGAACAACAAAGAAAACCAGGCAAGCACCACCTTTGGAGCTGGAGCTAAGGGGACAACGTCTAGAACAATGTCCCTCAGTAAAGCTACTTGGACTTCACCTTGATCAAAACCTCACATACGACAACCACATTGCTCACATAGTTAAGAAGTGCAACAGACGCTTGGCACAGGTGGGAAGGGTGAAGGACTTACTACCACATCGGCAGTGAATAGCCGTAGTCAACGCCTTAATAATCCCACATATAGACTACTGCTGCTCCGTATGGGGAAACACAACACAGAACAACATACGAAGACTACAGGTGGTCCAGAACAGGGCAGCAAGGCTAGCTCTTGGTTGTGATCGGGATGCACATGTGGACACCATGCTGAAGACATTAGGATGGCTGACTGTCAGGGACAGAATCCAACACAGAAGCCTTGTCACATTTAAACGTATCATGCTCACCAAACAACCAAAGGCCTTGTACGACAAAATCACATTCCAATCTGAGATCCACAAGTACAGCACACGTTCAA